CCGGCTGGGCCCCGCGGCACCGCCCCGCGCTCCCGAGGGCGGCACGCACGGATCGCACTGACCGTTAGCGCAGAATCGGAGCTGAAGCTGCCAAAGCCAGGCATTTCTATTGGGAAGCTCTCAGCAGCGCCAGCCAAACCTCTGATCTGCACTCGTGACCGCCCCTGCGCTCGCACACCCATAGGAAATGCTGCTCCATGCCGAGGGCAGGGCCCCTTCCCACTGAAGAGCTGGGGGCGTCCTGAGCCCGCCACCCGCGCGCAGAGGGAAACACCAAACACCTCAGGGAAGCCAGCGCAAAAGGACACACAGGAACGAGCAGTTTTGCATCACAACGGCAACGCCACGCACCACAGACCAGCCCGTGTTTGCTCAGAAGCGAACACGCGAGCCAACGCTTCGACTAACACGGCCTGCACGTTAAGTTATGACTAAACTGGAGCGGAGCAGAGGGCGTCAGGGCCTCCAGGTGCTTCTGCAGCTTTCCTCACCGCTGCAGCGGTGCCCTCACCATCCTACCGGCTCTGCCGCGCCGGGTGAGGCAGCCGGATCCTTCCCATTCCATTCCAGCACCCGGAGCTCTGCTCCAGCCAGGGCAGGGAAGCGGTGCTCGGAGGGCGGGAGGCTGCACGGCGCGCTGGGCCGTGCCGCGCCGCAGGGCGGCCCTGTGGGCAGGGGCTGCCGGGCTGTTCCGCGCCGCTCACACAACCTCCGCGCGGCTCCGCCGCTCAGGCGCTGGTTTTTGTTGCGTCAATTAGCACATTTGAAAACCACAGGCGCATTTAAAGAAGCCGGCAGCAGCAGGCGCAGCAGATTAACGTGTTCCTGCAGCACGAGGAACCCTCCCCGAGACACGGCCGCGGCAGCAGCTCACACACAACGCACCCCGTGGATCACCGAGAAAGGTACGTGCTCCGGGATCTACCGCATCCCGCCTTCGTCCCTGCAAACACTCAGCTTGGAGCAGGAGCGGGGCCAAAGCCCCAGGCTGCAGCCCCGAGCAGAGCGGCCCCTCTCCGCCCGCCAGGGCCACGGGGCAAGGAGGAAGGGGC